ATGTTGCGTGACGATGTCTTTCAAATGTTGTCGGGGTGGATTCGATCGGGCCTCGCAGCAGGAATGTGGCCAGGTATTCCATGCCATTCCTTCCCTGTCGCTCGAAGGGCACCGCAGTGCTCTCGCCTTCCTCGCCGTCTACGCAGTCCAGAATGCCCCAATGGCATCCCAAACTTGCGACAAAGACCGCGGCATCGTCGCGGAGGGCAATGTGTTGGCTCAGCGTAGTGGGATCTAACTCGCCGCTCGCATCGTTCGTGGCCTTCCCTGTGGCGAAGATAACCCCGCTCAATCCTAGTAGTGGTCAGTGTATGATCGGCCTGGGATGATGAGAGATAGTGCACGTGCGGCTCATGTGAATGATCACTGCGCCTCTGGTACCGCGCGGCGCGCGCGTGCACGCCTGCGCATGTTTTATTGCAGGTGTCCTGCCCTTCGTCGAGCTATATGTCCGGGTCGAGGCATATGCGCTTTTTCCGGTAAGCCACGCTGTCAACTCGATAGGCCCAAAGGATCTGGAGGTCCCCACGCGCGGCAAAAACCCGTTTATCCCGAGAGGCTCTGCGAGGTAAGTTCGAAAAAATTCGCGACCTCCCTCAGCCTTGTGCGCGTCAATGCTTCGTGGCCTGTTCTCGCCTCCGTCGCCGCCCTTCGCCCCTCCCAGTTCGTCGGGCCCCGGGGGCGGTTTCCGTCTAACACTTGGTTTTTTTAGGTTCCAGTCGTCGGGTAAATTCGCCGGGCCAGCGTTGCTTGCGGGGGGCCTGGGGTCGGGCAGATTCGTTTGCGCGCGCTCGCAAGGTCTCCGCAAGCAGCGGTTTGGAAAAGAGCAGCCAGCGTCCACCACCACGCGGCGCAGGGATCAGGTGGATTTGCCGAGCCTGGACGCGAAGGGTCTCCGGGCCTTCGAGGACAGCCAGCCACTGGCCCAGCGTGCTTGAGCCCGGCAGCGCGCGTCCGGCGCCGAGCCCAGCCTGGATCGGCTTCATCACGCACAGGCCGAGGTGCCTCATTTTCGTGCACGATGTGGCAGCTCTTGTGGGAATGTGGGAACACAGCTGAGCAGCGAGCCCGGACTCGCATCCGTCCGCATGTTTCGCCGCGCTTAGCTCCCGCCAGCGAGCGGGTAGCATTATTGCTCACTGGTTGGTTTCGCGCAGAATGGAATCCGCCACAGGGTGTTTTACAAGTCGAACGGGCTGAACATCATCATCGTCATCTTCGTCATCTTTCCTCTCCCATCCTCATGTGCAAGCTGAGCGTCTTTCAGCCGTGCCGCGACATCCCGGCCGGCGCCGTGCCGGGCTTCTAGCGCATTATCAAGTGGGTGAAGGACCAGTTATCTTGGCCGATGCGCAGTCGAGTCAGAGCAGCCAGCGTCATGCACATGATCGAATAGTCCGGTCATAGACATGATGTTCCTGCGTTCCGCAGTCTTGCAGCGACCGCCCCGCGCCGAGAGCAATCGGCGACCAGCGTGATCAAGAAAACGTCTCGCCCGCGCGCGTTGCCGCAGTGCCTGGGCCATTCTTGGGACATGCGTGAGGTCTTCGCAACCGGCGCCGGCGCAGCAGTAAGCATTCCGGAGAGAACGCGGTGGCGCATCAATTCACGGCGGAAGGAGGTCGACACGCGTGTGACAGGGGCAGCTCAAGTCACGCGCGTGCCATGGTTTCCCGCCCCCGAAGAAGGGCCCTCCCTGGCCTCGCCAGCGGAGCGCGCAGCCGTTGCCGAGGGCTGCAAATCTTGGGATCGGGCTGGATCGGACAGCGGAATGGCGCCCGCTAGGCAAGGGCCTTCCCACCTCCTCCTCCCCCCCCTCCTCCTCCTCCTCCTCTCCTCCTCCTCCTCCTCCTCCTCCTCCTCCCCTCCTCCTCCTCCTCCTCCCCCTCGCCCTCCCTTCCCCCCCCCCCCCTCCCCCCCCCTCTCCCCCCCCTCGCTCCTGGTCGGCGTGATCTCTCAGCCGACGATAGTTTGCCCCTGATAATCCTCCTGGGCATGGTTCTTTTTCAACGGGCATCACACCATCAAAGCTAAACGCGCGCGCGGGGGAGATTCCATTTTGAGATATGCCCGGGCGCGGATTCGACGCGCATCGGCGAGGGATGCTGGAATCCAGGCGGCGCCCAGAAGGTAGTTGTGCATCTAGTCGGGCCCGCGCCGTCGCCCGTCGACGCGGAGTGCTTCGCTCCTTGCCGCGCGGGCATGTGCCTCTTGAGGTGGGCGGATATGCCCTTGGACGCGCTCTCTTTGGGAGAGCGCGCGCGCCCCCCCCCCCCCCCCCCCCCCCCCAACCACCACCACCACTCCTCGAGTTTACTCGGAGCGCGAGACGCAGGGGGGCCGCCCGTGGCCTTCGTGGGCAGCGGCCAGCCATGGCCCTGCGGGCGTTGCAACGAGGGGCCCCAGCACTGCGAGACGATCGAGAGCCACGGGGGGCACGCGCGACATGAACCAGGCCATGAAACATACCATGGAGGCAAACGCGACGAGTGGAAGAGAGCGCGCGTCGACTGCGAGCGGGAGTCGGGGCTGAAGCGGCGGGGGGAATGTGGCGACGAAGAAAAGACGCTGCACGGGGGAGACGAGTGCATTTCGAAGAGCAGGTCTGCCGAGAACAGAGGGAAAGCAAAAGGATCCGCGCGGGCAGCCCAGGCCCCAGGACAAATCAAAGCAGCGCAAGCACTCCTGGCGGAAGAGGAAGACCAACATAAAAAAAGTCTCGCGCCACATAGAACAAGTTGGCCATGGAGAAGTCAAAGGATATGGCGAAGGCGCTGCTGGAGGGCATCAAAATAAACGGGGGAATAGTTGCGGTTTTTAGCAAAGCCGGAGAAAACATGGCAGAGGCTCTACGCTGCGCAGAAGAAAACGGCACCCTGCTCAACAGCTACATTGCCATGGACAGAAATGACGGAGATGCACTGAAGGCGGCAAAACGAGAGTTGAAGGGAAAAGGGAAAGAGCTGCACAGGCGGGACGACTACAAGACGGCGAAGAACATGGTAGAAAGACCAGTCGGCGTACCTCAAGGCGCTGGACTTCGCGGACAAGTGGAGCGACGTCGCGCAGCAGTTCAACGTTTGCAGGAGGGACGCGGGATGGGGCGAGGAGCCTGCTCGCGCGGGCCTGCCTCCCCAAACAAGTCGTGGTGGAGAGGCCCCAGCCCCGTCTCGAGAGGGGGCGCGCGGCTGTTTCGGCGCAAAGTTGACTGGTCACAGCTCGTCATGGCGCAGGAGAGCCACCCAGAAGATGTGCCCATGAAAGAGTGGGTGGACAAGGCGAAGGGGACGCGCGGCGACGTCTGCGAGGGGTGGCCTAAGATCGGGCGCGGGTCGAAGCTCCTCCCGTGGAAGGGCGGGCCGTCGATGGTGGTGGATCTCAAGGTGGGAAATAAATGAGGCGCGGCTGTCGCAGAAAGGCTGCCGCAGCAGCGAGACGACGCCATCGAGAAGTGCCACTGCCAGTTCTTCGACGCCGCCCAGAAGATGGGCCCAGAGGAGCTTTTGTAGCTGATCCCCGCGTCCTTCCCGATGGCGCACACTGCCAAAGGTGGCGACCTCATCGCGAGGTGCCCTGTGGACGCGTGGGACAGGGCATGGGGGAAGGCTTATACTGCGCGGAGCTGGTGCGAGCTGGCGCCGAACATATCGCGGAACGACGAAGGGAACCTCCACGAAGTCATGGAGGCCGCCTTGAAGGATCTGAGCAACGAGGGCTATCTCGACGCAGAGGAAGTGAAGAGGCTCAAGGAGCGCCAGAAGCTACGAGACAGCACGCAGACGTTGCTGGATGGCACCGAGATCTTCGAGGCCAAGTTCGAGTACCCCAAGTCGGAGGAGACGACTGCGACCAGCTCCTCCAGCGGCAACCAGTGAGCGCTCAGCCTGGAGCTTAATGGGATGCCACGAGAAGCATTAGCGAGGTGTGCTAGGAGTTCTTCTCTGGGCGAGCTGGGCGAGCTCTCGGGCAGCCAGGAGATGCATTAGCGAGGCTTTCTCGGAGCGCAGGCCGGGGCATGCAGGATGGGCATCGCGGAGCGCTCGCGCTGTCACCGCAATGGGAGGTATTTGTTGGAGCGCCGACTGGTGCAACTGCAGGGTGTCGAAGGAGAAAAAATGATCCTCACGAAGTCCACCAGAGTGCTTTCTTGATAGCCCGCCTACTTTGTGCCGCGACTACCAGCATGCTCTACCTCGCATACACTTCGAGGGGGATCGGTGGGATACTACAACAGGGTATCATAATACAGATGCGGTTATGCATGGGGCAACTCTTGGCCAGACCGGCAAGTGAGCCGAGCGGGAGAGGAGAGTAAATCATTACAGCGGTAGGGTAAGCAACCACCTCAGCAACAGTTTGGGAACGCGCGACCCTCCCCCCTCTCCTCCTTTCGAGTTGTCGTGTCGTCGTCTCCTCCCCCCTGGCTCGGGCGCGCTGCTAAGCCCGCGCCCCCCTCCCCTGGGGCGCGCGGAAGGGCCAGCAGCCGCTCCCCCCGCACTGACCCGCGGGGATTTGTGAACGCAAGGTAGCGAGCCTCTCTTACGGGGCGACCTCGGAGCTCAATCCTTGAGCGACGCGGCATGCCCCCTGCCAGCCCGAGCGAAAAGGCAGGGTTGTTGCACAACCGATCGCAGGGGATGTTGACAGGAGTAGGTAAGACGCCAGCGTAGGTGTTTTGACGCTGCACCCCCGAATGCGGAGTTCCTTGTCCTTGCCTTCCTTCTTGTCCTCCTCATCCTCCTCCTCCTCGCGTTGCGTCGTCTCCTCGCCTTGCTCCATCCTCCCCCCCTCTCTCCCTCCCTCTCTCTCCCTCTCTCCCTCTCTCTCTTTCTCTCTCTCCCTGTCTCTCTTTTTGTTGTTTTTCTTGTCCTCTTTTTGTGTCTCTTTCTTTCTTTCTCTCTCTCTCTCTCTATATATCTCTCCTTTTGTCTCACCTCTCTCCTCCCTCCTCCTCCCTCCTCCTCCTTGTCCTGCTCCCACCCTCCCTCTCCCGCGGCCAGGGGGAACGCCGCGGCGGCGCATTTCCGGCTGCTCCGGGTGGCCAGGCTGATGCGCCTGGCCCGCGTCGTGCGGCTTGGAAGGCTGGCGCGCAGGTCGGCGGTGATCGCGCCAATCGCCGTGATCCTCGTCGTCATCTGGGGGATTTTCCTCAAGAACGGCCTGAGCTCCACCTGCTAAGAGAGAGAGTAGCAGGTGGACGGGGGAGCGGGCGGAGGACGAGGGGGGAGGAGGAGGAGGGGCGTGTTTTTTGATTGCTTGGGGCATGACGGGCGTCAAGGCCCCAGCCGCCCCTCCACCTTATGACGTAACGCTACCCCCCCAGTGCGTTCCGGCTACTGCCGCCGTGCGCATCGGGATCCGCATACGTGTCCGCATCGGAATCCGCATTGGAGTTTGGTCCGCAGTCGTCGTCATCGTCGTCGTCCTCCCCGTCGCCGTCGTCGTCGTCGACGTCGTTGTCGTCGTCGCTCGTCGCTCGTCATTCATGGTCGTCGTGCGCGCGGACGCGGCTGGAGCCTTTTGTTTTTTTTCCTGGACCGATGACGGCAATCATTTGGAGGGGGGGGCGGGCCGATGACGTCCCGTTTCGCGCCGGCGCCGTCTGCGAATGCTTGGAGATGACCGAGGATGGGGAGCAGCAACATGTAGGTGGCGATCTGCATCACAACGCTTGTGTACACCACAGCGCACGCGTGCACTTCAGCGGTGTGTACACCACACGGCCTATGTACACCACAGCAGCCGCGTTCAGCACAGCGCCAGTGGGTGCCACAGTACTTGCGGGCACCACAGCGTTTGTGTGTACACCACATCGCACTTGTACACCACGTCCGCCGCGTGTAACACAACACCACGGCGCCTGAATGCACCACAGCAACCGTGTGCAACAGAGCCCCTATCGTTGCACATGTGATGTTATAAGGCATCTGCATGACAACATGGAGCGCCTGTGGATTCTACAGCAAAGAACTGCTTAATGATGTATACAGGAGTTGGAAAAGAGTCCTTATGGAAAAAAGAGCGCCGCTGAAATCTACGAGTCCTCCAGAGCCCGTCCGCATCATCCTAACTCCTCCTATATGCGTCCAGGAGGCTCCAGCACAATTGGCTGTCCGAAAACCAAGTGGACTGATGAAAAAGACCATTCTGCGGTGCACGCTGAGATGCGCACGCGCGCGGTAGTGCCGACCCGCACGACAGGGGGCAAGGGTGAGGGGGGAAGAGGAGGAAGAGGAGGTGGAGGTGGAGGGCAGAGGAGGACGGAGGAGGGCAGAACGTCGGATTCTATCATCAGCACTTCCCTGGCGTGGCGAATGCTGTCCGCAGCAGATCTTCACACACATGATCCTTCTACCTGTCCTGGGCACGCATGCGTTGTGGTGTACACTGGCACTGCGGTACACGCGGATGCTGTGGTGTAGACAGGTGTTGTGCTGTGCACAGGCGTTCTGGTGCACGCAATCATTGTAGTGTACACAGGCGCTATGTTGCACAGGGTTGCTGCGGTGTACACATTCGCTGTGGTGTACAGCGCGATGTTGTGCACGTAAGCATTGTTGTGTACACAGGCGCTGCGTTGCACACGGCTGTTGCGGTGTACGCAGGCGCTGTGGTGTACACACGCGCTGTGGTGCACGCGAGCATTAAGGCAGATCGCCACCCACATGCTACTCGCGTCGTTTTCGTCGTCGTTGTCGCTCGTCGCTCGTCGCTCATCGTCGTCGTTCGCGCGGGCGCGACTGTGGTGCCGGAGCCACACGGGGGGGGGGCATTACGCCCCCCCCCCCCCCCGCATCCCCCCCCCCCCATGACCCCATGACCCCCGTCATCGCCAAAAATACAGAAACGCGCTTGAGGGAGGAGGAGGAGGAGGGAGGAGGAGGGCGGAGGGGAGGGTGATGGAGGGGGAGACGAGGAAGAGGTGGAGCAGGAGCAGCAGGAGGTGGAACGGAACGGATTATGCAGGAGCAGGAGGTTGTGTGGAGGAGGGCAGATGGAGAGGATAAGCGGAGAAGGAGAACAGAACTGGGGAGATGGAGGACGAAGGAGGGAGGGAGGGAGGAGGAGGGGGCGGAGGCGGAGGAGGAAGAGGAGGAGGAGGATGCACAAGGAGGATGCACAAGAAGGAGGAGGAGGAGGAGGAGGAGGAGGAGGAGGAGGAGCGCGAGGGGCGAGGAGCGAGCAGGGGGGGGGAAGGCGGGCCGAGGAGGGGGGAGTATGGATGAGAAGAAGTCGCAGGCACGATCATGGGGAGCAGGAGGGCACGAGGTGGCAGAAGTGGAGAACAGGAGGCAGGGAGGCATGGAGGAAGACGAGTATTCGGCTGACCGGTGTATTGGGTTACGATGCAGGTAAGGTGGAGATACGTTTGGACCCTCCTCTGTGGGCGTCTTCGTTGGCCGAGGGTCCAGAAGGGAGTCCTAGGCCCCCCCCAGTGCCAATTGACGGCACTGGTGAAGGTTGATTGGTGGGAGCGGGAACCCAAGCAGCCCCTCTTATGGAAGTTGCGAGGGATGTGAGGCCGATTGACGGTCCTCACCAGCGAGGCCTAATGACAGTCCTCGCCGAGGGGAGGGGGGAGAGGGAGGGGTGGGGCGTAGCGACGAAGTTGTCCGCGATGTGTCCTGGTCCTGAGGCGGGGATTCATGAAAAGGGGGAGGCAAAACACAAAAACGGCATACGCATATCCGATGCCGAACTGAGAAGGCCTTGCGCACTCAGTACCCCTGTGGGGAGGATAACGTCTGCACACGCCCACGCTCTGGTACCAGATCGTTGCGCCCCAAGGGGCGGACGAAGCATGCCCCCCCATGGGCAAACCAAGGGCCTCTGAGACAGCCGCGCCCCGCCGAGAGCATGCCCGAGGACGGGGACACGAAAGCTTGCACCACGTATGTAACGCAGCCCGTTGCGATCCCCCCCCCGAGCGGAGGGGCAGGAACGGGTCGAGGGGCACAGGCAAGGTCATCCCGGCGCGCCAGGAGAGATCCCAGAACGACGGCGAGAACGCGGGAGACGGGTGCTGGGGAGCAGCGGAGGGGGAAAGAGGGGATGGGGAGGAGGGGCAGGAGGAGAGGGGGAGGAAGGTGGCGAGGGAGGACGGAGCCAAGCCAGGAGAGCGGAAGGGGGAGCTTTGGGCGAGCTTTCCGGGGAGGGGGAAGGCGGCCAAGGACGAGGTACATGGGAAGGGGGACGTTCAGGAACTTCAGGGCCAGATGCAGTGTGTCCAAACGGTCACTGCGCAGGGTGATGAGGAGAAGCTTCAGAAGTCCACTTGCGGACTTCTTGACCCTACCTCAGACTTATCAAGTGAGAGAACAGCGGCGGCAGCACAAAAAGTGAAGCGAAGCTCCCGCCTGCTCCTCGGGAGAGACCGGGCCGCGCCTCGGATGGAAGAACTCGGTGAGCCGGAGTTGTCCCAGCTCGAGCCTCCTCGAGGCAGCACGTTTGGCCACCCTGCGGCGGGCGGCCTCGTCTCGTTTGCGTGCATTCCTCTCCTGCTGGCTGCTGGAGAGCCCGACCCCCTTCCTCAAAGCAGGGGGAGGGGGGGGGGTAGGAGGGTCAAGGGGCAGGGGCTCAGACTCAGGGGGGGCAGGGGCCGCCCTTGCTCGACGGAGGGGTCGAAGGAAGAGGCTGAGGCTGAGGCAACGCCAAATGGTAGTCCTCATCACCAGGGTCTGGGGGTCGGGTGGTGGTGAGCGATGAGAGCCAGAAGGTCGAACCTCGTGTCGTGGGCTCGCTGTCGTGGGAAGCGGGCGTAGTCAGCAGCAACATGTGCGGACTCCTCGACATACGGGTTCAGTGCCACTAGCAATTGTGCCAGCTCTTCCGCCAGACTGTTCTCCTCAGGAGTGGCGCTGTTCTCAGAAAGTTCTAGGACATTGCAATCTTCATGCACAGGTCTTTGAGATACCGTGTGTGTGTGTTTTCGTTGCAGTCGTGGACATCCCCTCCTCGTCCTTCCCCTAAAGCACTTGGTGAGCTCGGATACTGTGATCACAACGCCCTGGTCACCTTGTCCCTGGAGCCTGCAGGTGAGAGATGGGAGTCTCATCGTGAGTAAGGCCGTGGGCAGGCGAGAGGACTGTCCACATACACGTTGGTCGAAAGAGACCAGGTCGGCACAAGATGCTGAAGCAGGTGCACGCGCCTCACGGGCGTGCCAATTAGGGGGAGCTCTGGGTTCCCATGTCGCCTCCTCGGGATTTTCCATGATACCACGCGCGCCATACATGATGCAGTGCAGGAGGAACTCGCGCGTGCATAGGAGTAATTGAGAACCTATCAGTTGTTGCTGATGTTGGTTTAAGTTAACGTCATGGCGACCCCATCCGTGCTTGAACTTTCTCAAGAGAGGTCAGCCATGGTAGCCCTGTGACCCGAAGCGTTCTTGTTGCCAAGGCACAGCACTACATGTTTCACACGGGTGTCCTGCAAGGACCTCAATAGTGCGCCCACAATCTAGATATCGAAGCCAGTGATTAGTAACAGCATGTTGTGTTGAGTCACCGAGCTCTGCATCAATGGTCACATCCAACGTTGTGGAGGACGATCAATGGAGAGGAAGCATGTTGCGACATATTTTCCATATGTCCAAAACATGCAAACATATGTTTAAGCATGTAATACATGGTTAGAAAATGTTTCTATATTTTGAAACTGACATGAGAGCACTGTTAGGGAGTCCATTGTCGTGGTATCCACAAATCCAATGGTATTGCCATGATTTGATATGGGGCCACTGAGGTAGCAAACTCAATGCACTCTTGGGTGAGCGATTAAGAGACACAGGGCCGAGCTATACGCAAGCAGGTCTTTTACGAGCTCGATGGATGAAAATTGGCGGACACATATGCTGCAGGCATTGGTGTCCACATACTTGGCCGCCATGCGCCGAGACTGAAAACTCTTCGCGCCCACATGTGCAACCAAAGCCTTCTTTTTGCGGAGAACCGTGTGGCAGAAATGGGATTCAAACCATGATTCATCATGAACAGGAGGTACCCAATCACGAGGAGGAGGACATCCGTTTTCATGTGCTAGAGTAAGTACATGCTGTATGCGCACTTGTGCCTTATGATTGCGTGCTTGCCAGCGTACGTGTGCCTGAACTCATGACCTCACCTTAGAACGCCATTTGGGAAGGGACCCCGACATCAGCTTCTGCCAGGCCCGCAAGGCAGTCCCTGAAGATGGCCTCTGACGTAGTTCAGCATGACGAGTA